TCTAAACCGAAACCGTTATAATCCAAATACTCATATTCATATTTGAATAATACATACGGTTGCAAAAATGAGGGCAATTAAGTAAAATTATTAAATAAAGGGAGAGTAATTGTCATTTAACGGTAGTACATTAGAGGTGAGTATGGTCCGGATTAGGGTAAAATCAGGACCAATCGGTTATCTGCGGTTCTTAAAAAAAATGGAACCAATCCAATCCATTTAAATCGTGGAACCAATCCGAATCAATCCATTTAAATACGGATTTGATCGATTTAGGATCACGGATTCACATAATTAAATAACAAAAAATATATATATAACATTTTAATTTTATAAAAGTATAAACATAGCATCATATTAGTTCCAAAATAGCAACATGTCTTTCCATAATAATGACATACTGTTTTAAAATTTAGACAATCATAAGAAAACTGCTCCACTATAAGTATTTAGATCATTACAAATTAAAACTAAAAACCAACAAACAATAGCAATAAAAGCAGATACTACGTGGATTTAGGTTTGGGTTTAGGTTTTATATAGAATAAGAAAGGATACTATGCAAAAGGGTGTATGATATAAATATAGGCTATTTGTATATAGTTCAGATCGGTTTCAATCCGGAACCGTGAGGCTTAATCCAGAATCGATTCGTGAACTACGAATTTTTAATTTTTCAATCCGGAACCGAATCACAAATTTAAAAAACCAATCCACACCTACTGAATTGGACTGAACTGAGTCGAATTATGAATTTCACAAATTCTTTACTCAGCCCTATAATACATATTTAAATACAAGGATAATATAATAATTTCATCACCTCCATTAATATCATTAAAATTGGCATCACTGCATGATAGGTAAATAAATTTTCTTTTAATGAATTGCCTTATTATTATTTAACAAAATAGGAGAAATCTTATATGTAACTTCATATTATTCCCATGAAACTTCCACCAAGAAATGTATTCATTGATAAATAAATAAATAAAATTTATTTATTTATTTATTTATTTATTTATTATTATTATTGTCTACTTTAGGTCTACACAATTTGAGTAACTCCAGGTATAGGTCCATAGGTCATTGAAAAATATTGTAAAATAAAGTGAGATAGTCCATTCCAATTTTCTCAATTCTTGTAGTCTTACTCTATTTTTATTTAATTTTTTAATTTTTTCACATTTTTCATGTGCATACATGCAAGACATGCTCCACCTACTTCAATGACACTAAGGCCATGTTTGTTTGGGCGGATTGGATTAGCATTCCCATGACTAATAATCCTAGGACAACCAATCCGTTGGATTATGTATCCTATCTTAACTAATAGTAAGTGTAAAATAATTAATCCGTACTTGAATATATATATATATATATAAATTGGATAGGCATTAGAAAATGTGTAGTCAATCCTTTGGTACATTTGTTTAGTTATTCTTTTTTTGCTACCTGACAATTATATATCTTACATATAAAAATAGTTCCATATTGTGCTTCCACTCATATACATTATGACACCTTTATGCAGCCATTGTACATCCACAACAATATTTCTAGTGATATAAGATTGACCAAATTAATAAATTTATTGTTATATACCAAGAGAGTGGGAAGCACATAACAATCCACTTAAGGGTCAATGCTGTGCTTTGTGTTTTATTTAATGTTATTTTTGGTAGGGAATAAGACAACTTTTTCCATTATTATCTACACTTTCAGGAAAAGCATTCAAATTAATACCCTGAAAAATAGACAAGTTTTATCTAAAATTTTAACACTTTTAAACCAATTTCTTTTTACTTTGGTAAATAACATAAAGTACGACCACAACATGGAAGTCAGCCAGGTAAACTGATTCCATTATGCTATTAGGGTTCCAAAATTATATATATATATATATATAATATATAAAATTCATCAAAAGAAAATCAAAGTTGCATAATAATATTTAAAAGAGACACAATTTTAAATATTTTAACTATTAAAAAATGATAATTAGTATTAGAATTCCTCTAACATATGAAAAATTATTCAGTAATTCAAGAATATTCGTGTTTATGCACCCCACAAATCACTAAATACCAAAACCTTGTTATTTGTCAATGTTACAAAGTTATAGGCCCTTTTCACCAATAATAAAATTCCTAATACATCATCTAATCATGCCCCGAATCACCAAATAACTTCTCCTCAGGCCATATGAAACAGAGAAAATCTAAATGGTGATCAGTTTGATTGACTCTAGGCCATCCATTTTCATCCACATGACATGACCAATCAGTTGACTGTTTTTCATAAATTACAAGATTATTCTCAATTGTACTCTCATGGTCTCCAGCCCATCACTTGGCAATGACCTCACCAATCACCAAACACTATTCTATTTACTGTTCCTCTTAATAAACCATGTCTCTCCACCAATAGCATCTCACAATATTCTTGAGTCACCGTGTGGCCCTGACCAGAACCACCAAACAACTTCTCCCTCCCTCCAGAATAAAACAACTAGAAGGCCATAATATTTGTGGTTATAATGGTTCAAAATTGTCAAAACGATATTATTTTGGGTGCAAAATATACCAAAACGATGTCATTTTGACAGTTTTGAGCCATTGTGGCCCCAAAAATTGTGGCCCTCAAACATTTTCCATAATAAAATAGGTTGTAGAGTAACCTGTTTTAATGTCATAAAAAAAATGTTAGTGATTTTAAAAATTTTATCAAATATCTTATATAGGTATAGGCCCACATAATGTAAGTGAAACATTTGGTAAAAATTTTAATAGAACTTTTAGAATCTCTAATATTACTCTATTGTCACTGTTTATACTTTTCTCTATTTTAATTTCTTATATTTTAAAATTTAAGGTTAGTATATTTAATGTAATTTTAATGAGGTAAAAAAATTTAAATAGATAACAAATAATAATTGTTAGAAAGCTAACAAAATAATTTTTTTAAATTTTACATTTTTATAATTAATTTTTAACTTGCAAAAAGAGTTATATTAAAGAAGACCAACGACATAAACCATAAAACAGACCGTGACATGACTACAAGGTCTCAAAAGGGAAATTTATTAACTCAACCCAGCCACACGATCTTTAGGGAGAATTACGAATGAGTGGATTTTTTTAAAAAATATATATATATATATATCTTGGATCCTTGATGTTGTTAAAAAACAAAAAAAAAAAAATTAAAAAATTTATTTTTTAATTTTTAAAAATTTTTCTTAAATTTTTTTTTTTTTTTTTCTAAATTTACACCAAACAGTAATTTCTCCTAATCTTTTTTTTCTAATCATTTTTCTTCCGAATTAATTTTTTGAGATCAAAAGCTAATATGGGTGAAAAAAAGAACCAGCCCAATGGACTTGAACCAGTACAGTAACCATAGTACACGAATGCCAACGAGTCTTTGGAGTAATTCTATTTACACACTAAATCTTCCTCTCAGTGCACATCTTTTTTCTAGACACAATTATGTTGTGTTTGGTTGAGAGATTTGAAAAGGAATTTGAAAAGAGAAAAAGAAAAAGATCGGTGAAATATGAAACATACATACATTTCACCTAATTTTACACACATTTTCTCTTTTCATTTTCAAATCATTTCTAAATCTCCCAGCCAAACACAACGTTAATGAATTTGAAATCTTATGATTTGCTCAGTACATATCCTACCCTACCACAAATACCCTCATCCTCTTCATCATTCAAACCCTAACCCTAGCCCCCTAATCTTTATCTTCTTCATTCATCGGTGACCAACCACCACCTTCTCTGTTGACAAATTGTAGTACAACCTCCACCCATCCTTCTATTATTGTTAGCTGCCATTACCACTCCATTTACTCCACGGCATCTAATTTCACAATCCACTATTTCTTTATAAACCCTAGACATCTAATTTCACAATCCACTATTTCTTTATAAACCCTAGACACTGTGACCCCCATATTTACACTACCCCATATGCCATAAATATGGGGTCTTTCTATGAAGAGATTAATGAAGATGATATCGAATATGAAGTTGGGAAAGATGGCGCTACAGAAAAGTAGTCGAGGTCACCACAAAAGGAGCAGTAAAGGATTACGGCTTAGGAATTAAGGTTTTGAATGAAGAAATAAGGTTATTTTGATAATTTTATTTTTGAACAAAATTATAATTTTAAAAATAAAAAAAATTCATTAAGTGTTTATGCACAAATATTATAGTGTATGAAAATAAAATTAGCCAAGCCTATAACCGCCAAATTGACAAAATTGGCCCTCCCCGAACTTTGGAATAAAAGTGTCATCCTAAAATATATATTAAAAAAAAGATTTAAATGTAACCTGCGTTTCTGCCGCGTGGACAGTGAAATCCCCCAGTGGGGACCGAGTTGATTTTGGGTCAAAATGATCCAAAATTCTTGCATTTAAATTTTGGCATGTCGCCTATGTATATAAGTAAATCTTTATGGACTCTCCTTAATCTTCTAAACAAGAATAAAAAATGCGGGTCGATTACCCCATTGAGGTGGCGTGTGGTGATTGGGTAAAAAAAAAAACTATTTTATTTATTTATTTATTTTAAGTTTCAGCCAATGGGACACGCTACCTCACTGGGATGAGGCCCCACTGGGGTCTGCAGCATCATTGAACAAGAATTAAATACAAAAATATATAATAATAATAATAATAAAAAATCATCAACAGTACAAAGAGATGGAGACAGTGAACAAAGAGAGAACAAAAATAAGAGAAACACCAGCGCATCTTTCTCTTGCTTTCTCTCCTTTTCATGTCTTACTCTGCTTAAACACTTACTGCCCCAATGCCCCTCTCTCTCTCTCTCTCTCACTGCAACCAAAAGAAAAGCAATCACCCTTCCCCTCTCTATCTCTCCGCTTCTCTAGAGAAAGAGACTGACCCCATTATATAATATATATATATATATACACATCATATCATGTGTGTTGAGAAAGAGAGAGAAAGAGATGGGTCCATTCGTGAATAAAAATTTAAAAAAAAAATGAAAATATCCCCCCAAAAAAATCAGGATTGAATGACATATCCATCTCTTTCTTCTATAAGCTGTACACTTTCACTTTTTATTCCAATCCTCCTCCCATTTTGAATCTTCTCTCTGAGAAACATTTTGCTCTGTTCCCTATACCTATCTTTCAAATCTTAACCATCATTGTTTGGTTACCACAAAAATTTTAAAAACAAAGAAAACAAAAAAACAAAATACAACAAAAAGAAATCGTAATCCAATTTTCCCTCTCCCCCCTGAATGTACAAATGAACTTACCATGGCTGATTCCACAAAATTCAGCCACGAGAACACCCACAACCCAACACCTCCGATCCGATCTGATCTCGGACCCACCGCCACTTATTTGCAATGTCCCCAATCTGTATCTGACCCCACCAGAACTACTGTTCAGTCGGGGGCAATAGCGCCAGATTTCCAAGCATCATCTTGCTCCAAAAAATTGGGACTTGAGTTTCCTTTGGTGAATCTCGCAATCAAGACAATCTTGAATCTCTTCACTTTTCTCTCTTATCTGCTGCTATCTGTCTTCTACAAAGATTCTCCCTACAAAATCCCGAAACCTCTTTGAGTACAGCTTCGGATCAACTGCAGAGATTGAGGTAGGGTCAGCTTGTAAGGATTTGTATGCGTGCTCTAGCTTCTTGCTAATGTCATAGTCTTGCAAAATGTCAATGATCCCAAAGTAAAGGACAACTTCATAGATTTCACCGTTGCATGAAGGGGTCAAATTACCAAATCCGCCTGGACTATACTGATCGAAGTCGCTCCTTCGAGCCACCCGCTCTGCCCTTGCAGGCATGTTGGCCCCCAACCTGATCAATGGTTTCCTGATACAGAACATGTTCAAATTCAAATTCAGTATTATATTTATTCTGGGTAATAAATATATAACCCATTTCAAGCATTACAAAGTCCTAATAGAAATTGACAGGAAACTATTTTTCCATGTTATCAATTGATGTTCACCATAGCAAATTGAAAAGCAACATGGCAATTTGGCAACACACATACAACATTCACTCTAGAGTTCAATAACTGCGTGGAATTACAGCAACAATTATCAAACATAGACTAGTTCTTATTTTAGGAAGGGAATAATAGAACCATATCTTGTGTATGCCCCACAAACAGCTGTTTGCTTATGAGCTACCACAACAATGTTGCCACAACCACCAAAACCATTTTCAATTATTCCAAGCAACAAGATCAAATTCAATTTAAGAAATTATTGTTGACCTAAATACCATTCATCTTATAATGTTAAAACTCAACCAGAACATGCTTTCATAATTGTTTCAGGGAAAGAAAATCTTTGGGTGTTAGTTAATAACTTAGGATAAGATTATTGACATTTCAAATTCAGAAAGGTAAGTCCCCTTTTGAGTATCAGAGCATACCGTCCAGCGAGAACCCTATCCATGTCTTGTAGCTCTGCTTCAAGGAATCGGCAGCCACGCATAAACTTTTCATTTTGAAATGAATCTTTCTTCCCTGAAAATCAACCCAATTCAGTTCAGCATTCTTGCCACCCCTACAAACTTAACTACCTATGAATAGTTGTGATAATAAACACTAATTACCAGTTCGCAACATGAATGGTGAAAGACCCATTTTATCGCCAGTGTTGTCATCACGGAAGTGAAGACCAACTAAGAGACTATAATCCATGATTCTCTCTGCTTCCAAGAACTGACAGTCCCTATCAATTTGTCTGTAAATAAATTAAAGCATAAAATAAGTTTTTAAGTATGAAATAGAGTAAGCACAGCAATCCAAACACAGTCAGAAATTAGGTCAAATATAAAACTAACTTTATGAGTTCCTGAAACCAGTTTCCTTGGATGCGAAACACAAAGTTCAGATCAAGGTCCTTAAGGGTAGTGGTTTCATCAATCTCCCCTTCAGGTTTGTCGGTTGTCCGGCCATGGGATGATCCTTTCAGGTCAAATCGTCTGTGGATTCGATACTCTGAGCAGAACAAGTTGCCTATTACGATGAATCGGGTCTAATTTCCACACACACAAAAAAAAACATAGAATGTAGTTAGAAATATGCAGAATTTCACATTCATGGATAAACAGCCAGAACTATGATAATTTGATTTTCATATCCCCGACATACCTTCAAGCCACCCACTGGCTTAACGCAATGTACACCAAAGAATTTTGTCACTAGTGAATTTTCGTAACGACAGACATGCTGGTAGTAACTTGGTAGCATCTTAATAAGAACCTGAACATAGAAATTACAAAATTTCAATCCCTAAACCTAATTGTGCCACGTTTTGGATGTCTTTTTGGATAACAAAGTCAGGTAGAAGTTACGAAACAAACAATAACAGGTTTGTCATTTGTGTAATCATAATAAACTTCGATCAACTATCATTGAATTTTTTTCACAAGACCGAAGTCAAATGTGGTCGGCAACTAACCTTGACTTCTGATTTCTTCACTGTTTTTATCATAAACCTGTCGTCCTGAGTCAAGTAAAAGAAGCTTCCACTCTTCCCCGGAGATGAAAGCTCCCTCAGAGCGTCATTCCCGCAAATAGCTAGCATGTAATCCGCAGGATCAACTTGAAATAGCTCCCTCAAATGTCTGAATACCCAAAAATTCAAACCACCATTCACAACCACAAAAATCTAGATTATAATATGGTAGTCAACATTGTTCGACTCAGATGATAAAAAATGTGCGACACAGGAATCGAACATTGAATGAAATTGAAAATCACAATAGGGCATTTCAATAGAATCAGTAATACCTAAACACCATGGGACAATAATCTTTCCACCGGAACTCCCAAGATTGATGGGGTGGTGTAATCTTTGATCCTTCTGATGGAAACCTAGTCCAGAACTTCTCCTTGGGATCGAAATCACTAGGTTTAAGGTCCCGTAGAATCGAAGCATGTTTCCCTACTGAATACCTACAATACAAGTAATCACCAACAATGCTAAAATCAACAAAACCCTCTAATTAATCAATCACAAGAATGACACAAAAAAAAATTTAAAAAAAAAAAATGCCGTGAACCAAATTCAATGAAATAATACCTAATACCCAGTTGGAGATTCAGCATCAAATCATAATTCTTATGACCTTTAGATATTGTCTGCCCTGGTTTCTTCACCTCACCACCAGTGAAACAACAGGGACCTCTCCGAAACTGCTTAATCTCTTCACAACCCCACCCTTTACCATCCCTATAGAACATGGAGGCCTCCACATTATCGATTATGTCACAAGTGATGTCACCAGCTTCTCCATCCGATTCCCAAATGCAAATCCTGGGAAAAGCCCTCTCCGCGGACGACCTCTTCTTGGTGGCCGTGGAAGCCACCATTACGCAGTTGTCATCAATCTTGTGATTGAAAGTCAAGCTCTGGCGCTTATGATCGTTCCCAACAATGGATGTATTGTTTCCGGGATAGAAAGTCCCATTGAGAATCTGTTGTTGTGGGTTCTTGGAATCAGTGGTGTTACCGCTCTCTTTGCTCCAGCTTCCGATGTAGCAACTACCATCAGGCCAAGTAAAAACTCCATTTCCTTTTGGAACTCCGTTTTCCCAATTTCCATCGTATCGATTTCCATTCGACCAAATCAACATTCCTCTTCCATTGATAACTCCGTTTCGCCACTCACCCACGTACTCGTTTCCGTTCTTCCAGACGTACCTTCCGTGGCCGTCTTGGAGGTTGCGCCGCCAGAGGCCGTCGTAGAAGTCGCCGTTGGTGTAGCGTTTTTGGCCGTGGCCGTGTTTACGGTCGGCGACCCATGAACCACGGTACGTATCGGCGTCGGATCCGATAAAGGTGCCGAACCCGTCCATTCGACCCGATTTGAAATCGCCTTCGAAAGTGGCTCCCGAAGCCCACGAGAACTTGCCTTTCCCGGATGCTTTCCCTCTCTTCCACTCCCCCTCGTACATACACCCGTCGGTCCACAGGTACTTTCCCGATCCGTGTGGCGCGTTTCCCGAGAAACTTCCCGTGTAGAGATCTCCGTTCGGAAGAAGCTTCTCCGCGGCGGCGGTGGTGGTTCTGGTTGTGGCTTGGGATCGGCTGCGGGATACCACAGCCACTGATTTGGTATCTGGTTCTCTCTCTCCTTCTTCCTCTGATTTCTTGTTTTCTTCATCAAATGATGACAATACTGGCTCTGGCATTTTGCTGATGTGCTTTGCCTCTCCTAGTCTCGCCGGAAACGAGCTGAGTCCTCCAGCTTCACCGGCATTTCCAGCTTTGTCTATATTATGTATTTATTTTTCTGTCTAATATTTGAGTCAATCTCTCTCTAGAAAACCTGTATTCTAGATTTGTAGAGAGAGAGAGAGAATGGGTGGGGAATCTGTAAACAGAAGAGGAAGGGAAGAAGGGCAAATAGTAGAGATAGAAAGATAGAGAAATAAACATACATACAACATAAAAGAGTAACTTAAAAATATTATATAAAAAATTAATTAATGAAGAGAGACAGAGAGAGAGAGAGAGGGGGAGGGGGGAATCATGAGCCGGCATTGTAATTGTCTAGGTAACGGTTGCTACAATGCTAATGTCCACCATAGCTCACCTTATTTTGTGTTAATTACATTTTAGTATTTTTATATTTAAAAAAAATTAAAATTTATTTTTATTTGTGACATTAATTTTTTCTATCAAAGTTTGATTCAGTAACTCACCAAGGATCTTTTAGAGTATTTTTTTTCTAAAGTTTTTTAAAATTGTGTATTGTGTGGTTGAGATTTAATGCTGAAAAATTGATGTGACTTGTCATTAAATCTCAACCACACAATGCACTACTCTAGGAAACTTTAGGAAAAAAAACTCTAAAGGATCCTTGCTCGACTCAATTTCTAATAAAATTATAAAAAAAAAATAATTATGTGTCCACCATGTTTGGAGAAGTTATTGGTTGGTTTTAGGATATCATCACCTAATGTTTCAATAGTGTTATGATTAATAGAGGAGTAAGGTTTACGAATTTGTATTGAATGATTAAGAAATATAAGGAGGTCGGGTGAGTTGTGACTAGTGTAGGACATATCCACGTGAAATTCCAAGACTAATTAATAATATTTTCATGTGTGGACATTTTTGTCTTCTGTTTAGATCATAAATTTGAAATATTTAATTTTTTTTGTTGTCTTTTAAATAAAAGAAATTGATCAATAAATCTCATATGTTAAATTTGTGATATATATAGTCCTATATTTATTTATTTATTTGTGATTCATTTAATTTTTTTGAACATGTAACGACTCATTTGCTATTATAATCTCCTTAATTGTTATTGTTTGTTAACGTCTTACATTTAGAAAAAGTAAATTAAGAATTTTTTTAGGTATTATATTTGGAAAAAATACATTAATAATTTTTTTAGCAAACTTTCTAGATGTATCTAATGTTATATTATACCTGTCACATTGGAGTGTTACATTAGATTGTTATATTTGGAAAAAAGTACACTAAGAAATTTTTTCTTAATGTCACATCATAGTTACATTAGATTGTTATATTTGGAAAAAAGTACACTAAGAAATTTTTTCTTAATGTCACATCATACCCGTTACATTGAAGTGTTACATTTGGAAAAGGATAAAAAAGGTATTGATATGATATAAAATAAATCTAAAAAGAATTGATGGAGTCTTCATTTGGAATGTGGGTTTGTTTTTTGACTTTTTGATTATTTTAATCTGGGGCTAAAAAATATCGTTTTGGATGTTTTTTTGGCTCGTTTGACTTTTGTAAGAGAAAAAATAAAATAATTATGATTTAGATGTGATATTTTATCTTATTATATTAAAAAGTCTGTTTTGTCCTTTTATAACTAAAATTATCTCAACTCAATCCAAACCTTCATGCCAAACAAAACCGGAATACCTTTTGAAAATAATAAGACTTATGTGATCATAAGAAAAAAAAAATACTATAGAATAAGATTATGCAAGATTGTGAGACGGGACTTTTGGATAAATTTTCCTTTAAACAATGAATTTTGATAGGAATTGAAAACAAAAAGAGAAATCAATAAATTAATAAAAGAAAGTTTAACTTGTATTTAAGGGCAAACTTTTTACCTTATTTGGTTTGACTCATATATGGTTTATCTCTTAACGTCTAGAAATAATCATATAAATCCCTTTTGGTTTGTGAATTGATACACCATTAAGTCGGTTAACAATTTAAATAAAAAGACTAAAATATTCTTGTACTTTTCGTCATTTGTTTGAAAGGCAAAATATATTTTAACTCTCTGTGCTTTATTCTATGTGCAATTTATCGCTTGAACTTTGGTAATAAGCATATAATCCCTTTATATCTACCACGTGTTCCATACTTAATATTAAGTTGGATAGAATACTTAACGGTGTACTTTAATCTACAAATCACGTGAAGATTATGTGATTGTTTCCAAACGTCTGGAGATAAATCACACATAACTCAAATCATAGGGAAGTAAAGTGAAATTTGCCCTATAATCACATTTTTCATAACCATTATTATATTTTTTTGAATTTATACTTAAATTTAAAATTAAAACATAACCTTAAAATGATTGTATATCAATGAGCTAATTTATCAAAAATTTTGGCCACCTATATAAATATTCAAATTTATTTCCGATGTACCAAAAAAATATAAATATTCAAATAGCATGGTAAGTCATACAATTTATTAAATATGATTATTTTTATAGATACATGTAGATGGTGAAATAAAATCGATAATAAATAATATTTTCCTTAATATTTTTTATTTTAGTGGACCTTTTGTAATTTTTAATTAAAATTATATGGTTTAATTGGTTTCGGTGAAAAAAAATTGATGACAAATAACATTTTTTAATATAATTTTATTTTAGTTGACCTTTTGTCATTTTTAATTAAAATTATATGGTTTGACTGGATTTAGAAGTAAAATTTTTGAAATAAAAAATCGATTAAAAAAAAACTCTTTGTAATTGCATCAGCATAATGTAAGTTTTTTATTTTTATTAATTTTTCTATGACAATAAGCCCTAGACTCTTACTAGTGAAATTTACCAATGAATCCAATTTTGTACCCCAACCGTTCCCCAGTTCTCTCTCACTCTCTGGTTTCATTGTGACGTTACAGAAAAGCTTAAGAAGTGAGAAATTCTAAACTTATTTGATTTGTATCTCAACATATAATTTTTTTAAAAAAAATTTAAAACTTTGTTTAGTTTAAATTTTTTGAATTTTTTTTTAAATTATTTTATCTCTCTTAGATATTAATCAATTATTTTTCTTTCTCCCCTCTCCTCTCTCTTTTTCAATTATTTTTTTTTTCTCACACACATCTGCACAACTATAACAAAATATTAAATTATTCCAAACTCCCAAACTCCAAAACTATTTTCAAAATATACAACCAAACAAATCAAAAAAATTCTAGACTCCCTCCCTAAATTTTTTATAAAAAATTTATCTCAAAATACAAACCAAACACACCATTTATTTTCACACATTTAGAGTTTGTTTGGGTGTGTTATATAAGTATACTTGTAATTTTTTATCTTTTTTGGGTCACACTGCATATCTTTTTATAAAAAGTCAAAAAACACACTTATTTAGATCATCCCAAATAACCCCATGCTATTTTTTATTTAGTTTTAGAATTATGATTTCAGTATGAAGCTGTAATTTAAGTGTGAATTATGAGTTGAGTTTTTTTTTTTAAAAAAAAAATTTTTTTGTTTGATTATGAGTTTTGAAAAGTGTTTTGAGTTTTGAAAAAAAATTTAAGTTGTATTTTGAGTTTTGAGTTTTTTAATTTTAAATTGTATTTTGAAATTTTTTTGATTTATTGTTTTAAAATATTTAAAAAGGTTTAAGAAAATTTTATTTTTTATTTTAAATATATAATTTTTATTTAAATCTTTTCAATTTTTTAATTTTAAATATTTTATTTTATTTTTTAAATTTTTTAAATTTTAATATTTTAAATTCAAAACACAACTTCACACTCAAATCATAACTAAACACATAATTTCAAAACTCAATTTAAAAACTATTTTCAACATTCATAGCCAAACACATAACTCGAAACTCCACACTATTTTCAAAACTCTACACTCAAATCATAACCAAACGTAAAAATTAAAATATTTAAAAATATATTTATAAAATTAAAAAAAATTAAAATAAAAATTATATATTTAAAATAAAAAATATTTTTTTTTAATATTTAAAATATTTTAAAAAAATACAACACACAAATGTATGATATATATAGTGCACATTAAAATAAATAAATAAATATTTAAAATATAAAATATTTACCCCCAAAAAATAGCATTAAGAAATATTTTAAATATTTAAAAATAATAATGTCAAAAAAATTCAAAATACAACTCAAAACCAAATAATTTTTTTTTTTCTTTTCAAAACTCAACTAAAAAATAACTCAAAACACGACTCGACATTCAAATAATAATTCCAAAAATAATTTAAAAAATAAAATAAAAAATATTTTTTTGATTTTTTTTTTAAATAGAGTTTTGAAAAAAGTTTGAGAGTTTTGAATTGAGTTTTTAGTTATGTATTTAGTTATGAGTTTTGAAAATAATTTTTGAATTGAGTTTTAAATAATTTTGAGTTGTGTGTTTGGTTATGAGTTTTGAAAAAGATTTGAAATATTTTTAATGGAATCATAATTTCAAAAGAGAACCAAACATAGCTTTAATTATTTTAGTACACATTTTTTCTTAGTACACATGCCTATTAATTCGATTATTAATTAATTTTCTCAATCCACGTACTAAAAGTTATAATTATATCATTCACACATAACCATTGTACACACACCACTTAACCCTTCTTTCCACACACTTGTTGATTTACTCTACTTCCACATTTGTAGATCCATCCACATGAAGACCCTTGAAGACTAAAGTCTAAAGTGAAGTGAAGACACTTTTCCTCCATTGAAGACTCTATTGAACCTTCATTGAAAACCCTCCAAAATATTATTGAAGGTAAGGCATCTTTTTATTTTGTTATTTTATTTACCATTTTGTTATTACATTTACCATTTCTAGATTTCTTTGCACTCCATTGCTATTAAACCCTCGATTTTTTCCTATGATTTTCGGTTTGGGAATTTTGGCACTGGTTTTACGAAAGTATACATGTAATTCGGAACTTAACTTTCGAATAAAAGTTATTAGTTCAACTAATTAGTTTCAAAAAAAATAAAACAAATCAATAGTTAGTTTCCGAATTTAATAAATTATTTCGGTTTTCTAGTTCCGAATATTTGCAATATGTTCGACATTTGGATTCAGAATGTTGTGTGTTGTTTCAGCACTGAAGTTCCGAAATGAAACTTTTTTTAAAAAAAATATTTAGACCAAGTTACATAGGTCACCAAGATTGGTTTAACCTTAGGTTTTTTTCCAACAATATTATTTTATGAGTATGTTTATTTATTTTATTTTATTTGTGAAC